TAACCTAATAATATAATGAAAATAGCACTGTTGTATTAGGAATGAAATGTGGTAATATTACGCTTAGTCTTGCACTGATAAATGCAAATGTTACTATATTATATCTATTCAATTTTTATCTGGAGATACCATGGTGGTGGTAGGCAGGATAAAAATTAAAGACAAAAACAAGTTCTCAAGGCAGGTACGCTAACAGAACTGAAATTTAATTTGACTTTGACAATTATTATCAGCAAGTGGCTGGTTGTAAAACAAGGTAAAAAAATTCTTGATAAAAATATACAATACCCAAGATATTCTATCAACATAAAAAAAAATTAAGATTTTACACAAAATAGGTTGTTACGAACATAAAATTATATATTTTCTTATTGAGATACCAAGTTGCCATGGCCATGCCCTGTTTCAGGAAATTATGTTTAAACAAACCTAGGAAGGAAGAGGAGCAGCACAACTGATATAAACAAAGATGTGCTTTTAACTCCTCATAAAGCGTCTTATACTTTTCTGTATCTACAAATATTTAATTACAAACTTTAATTTTTTTCTCTCTCTCTTTTTCAAGCTGTTACATCACAAAGATTTGATTTCTCTTCTTCTTGGGTCTTTGTCTTCTTCCTTTTTTTATTTGTTTTTCAATTTAATCAAATTAAATTACATTGTATTTTTCTGTTGTGAAGGAAGTAAATAAATAAATTTTGATTTGATTTAAAATATTTTTGGTTAAAAAACATAGTCGAGAACAAATCATTATTAACTGTGTGAATGAATTTAAGCATTTTTGACGACTGTTTTGGTAAGTTTCAACTGAACTTGTAAATAAATAAGTTGCAAAGATAATATTTGTGTTCAGTTTCACTTTTTTGCATTTAAATCCACAACTAACATTATTTGTAACAAATACAAATCTATTTGTAACTTGGATTAAAAACACCCTGAAAGCAAAGACCTACATACATTCATTTTAAACTTTATATTAATAATTCATATCCTGTTTATATGAACAATGACATATTTTGAGATTGTCTAGATTTGTTAGTCATTGGATTACTGTAATATTCAGGATGAGAGGCAATCTTCAATTCATAAAAAAATCAAAATATGATTTTAAAAATGATTGTGAATCTCCAAAATGCTACCAGTTTCTAAGGTTTATGTTGAAATACTAATGTTGTTTAATTCCAATGATTAGATAATATTAATTGATTGATGAATTGACTGAAAACAAATCAAAACCTTTAATAATTTTTATCTTAATAGAGCTTACTAGAATAAAGAAAATTTGTATGGTATTGTATGAAAACATAGTTTCCATTTTTTATTGTAAATCATTGAGGTTTAGTTTAGATACCCATCACTTGATAAAATAATTTTATCTGGTGGGCATGCCTGCTGTGGAAAGTTTCGGTGATTAATAGTGTCAATAACATTTCTGTTTTGTTAACATTTTTTTGTACTTTCTGTTTGGCATAATTAGACTTTTCCTTTCTTACTTTTCCTGCTGTCAAGTGCTAAGCCTACCATAAAGCTACCATTACTAGGCCAGCCTGCATAAGTACTATAAAGCATACCATCACTATTAAGTCTACCATAAGTATTACAAAGTCTACCATTAGTACTAAGTCTACCATAAGTATTATAAAGTGTACCATCAGTACTATGCATACTGTAAAAAGCATACAATGTCAGACACACTATCACCAAAGGTAGGACATAAGTGACTTGCAGGATTTCCTGTTGCTATCAAATTGTCACAATTGGGTGCAGTCTCTTTGCTGAGAGATTGATTTAAAGGATAATGCTTTAGAAACAAACATGCATGAAAGACTAGACAGTCACTTCCTTTCTGGACTCTCAATAAAAAAATTCAATTTTGGCTTAAGCATTATTCCCAATTGTCTTTCATCTATCTGCTTCATGCTTACAGTACGTCTATTCTCTCGTCAAGTCATATAAATGCTCTGAGCTACCACTGCCTTAATGGTCTTTTATTTAAGCTGAAAACTCACCAATCCCAGGAGATCCTTTCCTCTTGGAACACCAACAACAACATTTTTAAGTCCTAGCCCAGCAAGCCTCAGAAAAGCAACAGAATAACCTGGAATTAAACAAAATAAATCTTGGGTCTACTCACAATAAAAACAAGTCTATGATAAAGTTTTAATTTTTAATCTGCCATGTCATATTTAACTGAACTAAGACTACCATTCTTTTGGCATTTGACTGGTTGGTAACAGATTTAATTCTAGGTCTGAGTGAGGATCACCCCTACTTCACATTAGCAAAGTGTCATGTATTGACCTTCAATTTATTGAAACAAAAATGTTTCTTTAAATATTGTTTTTCATAATTTTAATTTTTCTCGCGAGCCAGAATAATTTTCTTCAAATTTGGCCAACGGGCTGCCTATTAAGAACCAGAAATACGTGGGCATAAAACTGTTTCTTGTAAAAAGAAATTTGATAGTGCGGCCAGAGCTTTAATGAAAACTTGAATAAAAAGTAAAGACAAATAATTTTAATGTTCACGTTTATTAGCTTTACATAGACTGTATATCTTTAACATCCTATTAAACTTCCTTATATCTAGTTTTATTTTCTGTTTTAAACTGAAGGAACAATATGTCTACAGGCAATGTCAATAATAGTCTTCAGATTCTAATGTTGTTTTTTTTACCTAAACTGTATACAATATAAAAATTTGTTTATTGTCTAATCAAAGTAAATTTTATTGCTCACTTGCTCATATTAAATAATAAATATATACATAGCATGGAGCAGTTTAGATGCACATGTAATATCCCAATGTGGTTTAGCTTATTTTCTTTGATAAATCTCATTTGCAATTTGACCTATCACCAGTACAATTTAACTTGTAAGATATGATAATAATACAGTGCTTGTTGTCATAGTTTTTATTTGCTTAATTTTTATCCTTTGAAATAAAGTGGTTGAAATGAGTTGTTATTATCATTACTATTTTTATGATCTATATTACATTCATTATCTTCAACCTCTTTACTAGCTATTCCATAACCTTTATTAGAAGGTTACGTTTTCTACTGTTTTTATTTGTCCCGGTCTATAGGCCACATTTTTTAACAGAAAATCCTCAAACTTGGTCATAATGATCCATAACCAAAGATCTCAAAGTGATTCAATTTTGACAGGTTATGGTTACAGGTCAAAGGTCACAATCCAAGAAAACTACTTTTTTATATATAATAGCCTACAGCTAACAATTTTTATTAGAATCTCTTCAAACTTGGTCACAATTATCCATGACCAAAGATCTTCATTTCTTAATCGAATTTTAACTCTCGCAAATCTTTTGTAGTTAAGTAGTCCTAAGTTATATTTTTGTATTGTTCTTTTTATCACTTTCTATGATGGAATGACTGGCTTGAGAGCCAATTTTTAACTTTGGTCACTCCTTGCCATCTCGGATTTTGATTTGTGTATTGTTTCATTGGCAAAATAAAGAGTAAAAAAAATTAATGAAATAAGAAATAATAATAATATTAATAACACATATTTGACATTTCAAGACATACATCTGCCAGGAAAGTCAATAGGCAATTAGCCCAACAAACATATTTGCATTCCTACAATAAAAGTTATATTTGATATAATACCCTATTAAAAATACAAATTATTAATATATTAATAGAACATATTATACTTTTATTATCATGGCATTGCAACTTACAAACACAAACTGAGTAGGCCAAATAAAGTAAAGTATATAGTAGATGTCAACCAGTCCAAACTATCAGGTTTTATGTGGCAAATACCAGTGATATACCCATATATAGGTGTGATGATGACATCACAATACCCATATATGGGCAAATCATATAAATTTGTCACCCAAAAATTGATGGTGTGAATAGAGCCTAAAGGTTTGTCCACACTATCAAATTTTATTTGACAAAAAACTGTTGTATGCCCATATATAGTCATGATGTGCCTATATATGGTCATGATGTGATGTCATCATGACCATATTTAGGCATGTCACATGTTTTTGTCAAATAAAATTTGATAGTCTGTAGAGGGCTACATTTATTACATGGAATTTACTGCATGTAAGCAATCTATGGAATTTATATTGAGAAAATGAAACTTTATATAGTACCTCTATAACTGTCATCAAATGTTAAAGCCTCTTCTTTGTTCGCTGCTAATGTATTGGTGGGGTTGTTAAGGTCCAAAAGAATACCCTGACCTATTAGTAGAATGTAAACAAAACACACATCAATATCTTGATGGAATTCAAAAATATGAAATATAGAAAATAAAAAAAAAAGTATTCAAATGTAATTCCTTACCTTGCCAATAGTAACTGCCAGGAGCACCTAACAACAATTGGCTGTTGACCTAAAAATAATATTCAATAACAAGTTATGATAAAATTACTGTAAAAACAATCATACTGTTTTATATCAGCTTCAAGCTTATTAAATTCCCTCCACGAATCCACTTGGGCCAATTCGAACAAAGAAATAGTCTGTGAGTAAGGGACTAAGAAACGAGATCGGAACAGCCAAAAACCGCAAATTTCTTGAAATTCCCTATCTAAATCGCCGTGAGGAGCTGTTATAAATCAGCCTATTCCGACAAAACTGTAGGGATTTTTTTAATTTTTTCTTCACGAATTGGTAGATTAATATTTTTTACAACATAATCCGCTTGGGCCATTACAAGAAAATCATAGATTCTGTACCAAAAGTGTACTTTTGTGGAAAAAATCCAGTTGTCTCTAATGGTTAAGGCGACCTTGGAGAGCAAATGATACAACGTTTCCATATGGGGTGGAGGCACAAAAAATTATTTTCCAGGCTTGGCTGTAAAGATGAATTATTGTTTAAGTGTTTAAGCAAGTGTTATAGCTTGGTTCTATGGTCCTGGGTTCAATTCATGTGAGTAGGATTTTGTGTGACAACTACAGGAATTCCATCCATTATGAGACTTGGTTATTAACTAGACTAACTGGAGGAGAACAGTAAATATCTACCGAACAAGATACCAAGTATGAAAAAAAAACTAATTAATCAATGATGGCAGCAACAACCGACAACAATCAAACTGGATGATGCCAAAATTAATGTATCATAATAATCAGTTTTTGTATACCATAATCATGACAATGATGATATGATGACAATAATGATGAATATAACAAATGATAGATAAAGATGATGATGATGATAATGATGATGAATATATAAATTCAAATGTGGAACTGATGATATAGATAATGAAGTTCAAAGTAATAATGATGATAAAGAATATAATGTAGGAATCATAATTATGATGATGATAATTATTATAATAATAGTAATAATCACAAAGAAGACTGACTTACCTCATCAATATCTATAGCCATCCCAGCCTGGCAGTGAGTTATTCCACTGTGGCCTATATTTGAACCTAGAAGAAATCAAACAATATCCAATTTTGTTAACTGGTATACACCATTTTCGCCAAATTTGAAATAAAAATTTCCGAGAACCTGGCGACAACCATTGGGGGACTTCAAGAGCCCTAGCATTTTGCTCTATGTAGTTACCATCATGGATTAATAAACGACAAAACTAAATTAATAACGGGCACAAATATTTTAAAATGGAAAGAAATGTTGATATTAATTACATACAGTAATTAGCAAAAGATCATATCTGTCACCTGCTACTGCTGCTATAGCATTGTCGAGGGAC